GCGAATTATTTTAAATGGTGATTTGATTTGATTCAATTTTGAATTTTTCAAAGGGTCATTTATAATTCAAAATACCTTCCTTTCCATTAAAATTTGAAAAATCGTGTTTATTTCGCTTTTCTAAGTGGCTATTTCCGACACTATATGTAAAATGCAATTAAATCACGCAGATTGCGTGATACTGTTATTTGTAATTAAAATTTTCTTTGTGGCAGCCAAAATTTTTACGGCATAATTCGAAACAAACTATACCGAATAAGTAAAATCTGAATGGGCTCGATTGTATTAGGTTTTACGAGTTATCGTAAATGTTCGATTTACATTGTTTATTTAATTGCAACGTTTGCTGTTTATCGACAAGCGCGTTAAATTTAAATGTCCCAAGGTTTTTAAACGCAAAGACCGATTGCCGTTTTTTAAAATTAATTTAAAGCACCGCGTATATGGCGTCGGTATCGCATTGTGTTAAATAAAGTACCGATATTTATATTGTTTAATAAAAATAATAACAAAAAAGTGTTTCGCCAGTATTAAATCCATCATATAAAGCATAATATAATAGAATGATTTGCCGGATTAAAGGAAAACGAAAGGAATAAAATATTTTAGGTCAAGCCTCGAAAATTTTACTCCAAAAAGGTAAGAAGATAAATTAAATATAACATATAAACTCAAATGGCGACATATTGAGACCTGGCCCCTGTGAAAATCATTTATTATCATCATTGCAAAAATTATTTTTAAAAAATCCAAATTTTTAATACGGCGCAATTAAATCAACAACATTAATGTTAACCATTTTTTAAAAAAACTTTGACAATAACACTATTACCTATTTTTCATTTTTGTACTGTATTGTCAAGATTGAAGCTAATGAATGTATTAATAAATACAACTTTCTTCGGAAAAACATCAAACACACACAATCACCAAGTACAAAAACACTTTCCTAGGCCGTTATTAAAAACAGCTAAAGAAGGTCATCATCATAAACCTCGCAAAAAAAAAATGCATTTGCTTTCTTCCTTTACTGCCATTCCATCCATTTTTACGATTCTATTGGTATGCAAACTAGTCGTTGTTTTAAGAGGCGGGTTACATACATAATACATTGTCGTCACCTACCAGAACGACTCGACGGAAAGATTAGTACCAGGAAAAATCAACTGATGGAATACCAACGGCATGACGTATTTCTATATATTGATTTTTCCGTTAACATCCAACCGAATCATTATAAAGGCAACATCAATATAAATTAACACCTAATTTGATACCAGTTTAGAAAAGTCTAACAGGTCTAGTAACGCTATGATTATTGACCATCTGACACTTTCCAACATACACAAAAAGTCAAACATATTGACAGGTAAATTCGGCTATTACGCCACTCTCCGACTGCACTAACCAAAGTGGACCTACTCCACTGTTTTCCAATTAGGGTCCGAAACAAATGTCAATTTTTATAATTTATCAAATAATATTCAAAATAAATTTGTTGCCATTGCGCGATATTTCTTGAACATCAATAAGATTTAAAGGGCAATCTATATACCCAAAACCAAGCCTAAAAGTCTATTTCATGTATCATTTCCGAAAAATTTTTTATTATTTTTCCTTTTTATTTCTTTCTTTTTTGTAAAGTTATATATTTTTGGTCAATTAATTATTTTCTATTCTATATTTTAAGATATGCAAGGGATGTAATGTTATTCTGACAATCAATTAATTATCTTATTCATGTCTCTAACGTTGAACTGAAAAAGAAAACTCCCTGCTCTTCATTTAAATCTGGAGTAAACAGATGTACTTGAGGGGTTCCAAAATGCAATAAAAAATACAAAATAGCGGAGGGAGAGGAAAAATACTGAAATGTGTGCTACTTTAAATACACTAGTTTCTATGAAGTTGTCGGTTTTAAGACTGATCACTATGCTTCAAAATGTATTGTTGCAAATAGTTAAAAATTTAAATACTATACTATATAAATAAGGGGTGTTTTTTTTTCGATGTATAGAAAAATAGTTGCAATAAAACAACGATGGATTATTCGATTGACATGAATTTTATTTATCCGAAAGATAATCTTGTGGCTGGCGGCCGTATATCGGCAATAACACGGCGAATGTTGTCTTCCAAATGGTCAAGCGTTTGTGTCTTATCCGCATAGACCAATGACTTTACATAGCCCCACAGAAAGTAGTCTAGCGGTGTTAAATCACAAGATCTTGGAGGCCAATTCACAGGTTCAAAACGTGAAATTAGAGTCACCAAACGTGTCTTTCAATAAATCGATTGTGGCACGAGCTGTACGACATGTTGCGCCGTCTTGTTGAAACCACATCTCCTGGACATCATGGTTATTCAATTCAGGAATGAAAGAGTTAGTAATCTATACCGATCACCATTGACTGTAACGTTCTGGCCATCATCGTTTTTGAAGAAGTACGGACCAATGATTCCCCCAGCCCATAAAGCGCACCAAACAGTCAGTTTTTCTGGATGTAACGGTGTTTCGACATACACTTGAGGATTAGCTTCGCTCCAAATGCGGCAGTTTTGTTTGTTGACGTAGCCATTTAACCAGAAGTGCGCTTCATCGCTAAACAAAATTCGCTTATGAAAATCGGGAACAACGGCAATCTCGTTTTGGGCTCATTCAACGAATCTACGCCTTACTTGATGATCGTTTGGCTTCAATTCTTGCACGAGTTGGATTTTGTAAGCACGTAAACCAAGATCCTTCCGCAAAATCTTCCATAAAGTGGATGGACACAGATCCAATTCCTGTGCTCGATGGCGGATGGACTCATTCGGGTCTTCCTCAGTGCTACGCTCTACAGCAGCAATAGCTTCTTCTGTTATCAATAAGAGTAAACGTGGTGCGAAAACGTTCCAGGGTTAATCGAATTAACTGCTCTGATGGACGATTTTGTCGACGATAAAATGGACGTAGTGCGCGATACGTATTCCGCGCAGAACCATTATTTTCGAAATAAAATTGCACTATTCGCAAGCGTTGTTCAGTCGTGAGTCTATTCATGATGAATTGCCAAACCAACCTGAGAATAAATCATTGACAGCTGTTAAATCGGTCACCATCTTCAACAGTAATGCCAACTTAAAGTTCTATACATAGAAAAAAAACACCCATTATATACTGCGTTGACATTTTTAGTTTTGGTTAGTTTAGTTTGCCTCTTCTAAGAACAACTTGCACTTTGCAAATTGTCATGCAAGGTGATTAACACAGAACAAGAGCGGATATTATCTTTTTATTTAAATTTTAAAATATTTCAGCAGTAAGCATTGTATGATACCTAGTACCACATTTTATATACCACAATTGCGAAACAACTTGGTAACGAATTCTTTTGTTTGTTGGTTTAAAATATATGTTTGGTCGGGACCTTCATATACACCTTGTCACTAAATTCATTTAAAATAACGCTGTTTCAGATTATAGCAGGTTAATCCTAATCAGTTCAACTGGAATAATATGGCTCTATTTTTAGAATAAGAGTAGAATATTTTATATTTATATTTCCGTAAAAAACAGACACTAGGTTTGTATTAAGAGAAAACTGTACTGAGTTTTTTGTATCTGTACTGTCCCAATTCCAATAAGTATTATTATTAAAAAAGAGAGAAAAAAGCACACTTAAAGATTCATCATGGTTTTTGACCCTCAAATCCGCGTCCGATAACGACGGGCGAAAAAGTTGCCGAGTCGTGGTTTAACCTCATTTTATGAATGAACGGCTATGTTAATTCGGTACTTTTCAATTCTAATAACGGCGACTTTGTGACCCGCGAATCTTATCTTTTACATAACAACATCAAATCCAATCACATTCGGAATCCAAAAACGGAATCGGCGAGCGACGCGAGTGTAGACTCTTTTCTTTTCTGCCCGATAGCAGCGGCAATTCAATGATTTAATTTCTGCAATCAGCTGTTTTTGAGGTTCGCTTTTATTTATAGACGTATCAACGTTAGTTGTAGTGTCGCGTCTGTTTAGAAACCGATGACCCATATACACACCACATATTATTTTGCGAAAATCAAAGTGCTTCGATTTCGAAATGACGCTGAACAATAGTTCTTTGAGCGGCACCGCCTCATCATGACGTTTCCCAGGAAGTCGCGATAAAGATTCCTTTTCATACGAGACTGACAGGCGCAAAAGGAAATAATCTTTTATTTTTCTCGTTGCTTCTTTTGAGCCCTGACGCCCGCGTATCAATACCCCCAATTAAAAGTTCAGAGAGCATCCTGTCGTGCGGGTGTGGATATGTGTGCGTGCGTCTGTGTCGGACAATTCGGCGCGGGTTCAAAGAATGACATTTATGACAGAACACTGCTTGTGCCGTCGGTAAATATTTGGACAAGGCGATTTTATGGCTACCAAGTGGCATTTATTGACCTGCACTGTCACCAATTTAGATAAATTATACCCCATGAAGCTTTTTAAATATCGATTTGTTGCTAACAACTCGATCGTTGCCAATAATTATGACTTAATTGCATCACAAATATATTATATATAAATGAAAATATAATTGTAATTAAAACTTGTCCCAGAATGTTCGAAACACTCAATACCCATAAAAGCACCGACCTTTGTAAGGGCTAATATTGGTAGTGCTCTTTTTTTTATTTTCGTACCAGTAATTTTTTTCTTGTAATTTTTATGCGCTGCTTAAATACTTATGTACGCGCCGAGATAAATCAAAATGTTTAATAAAGTTTATCGTCGACGATGGTGGCGAGGAAACGTATCCAAAGTGTATAATCGTTAAAAATTATCTTTCTAGGTTGCCCACTCGAACAATGTATGATTTTAATTAAAGATATTATCCACAAGAGTTGATGTTTCCATTTACGTATTTTTACGACCTCGCTTTACAGCGTTTCAGTTTTAGTTTTCGCGCTTTTCGTCCTGATCGATAAGATTCGCAAAACAGTATGAACAGAAAGAAGTAACGACTAAGACTTACCGAAAGCTGACTTTTTTTTATGCTATTGTCCGTATAATACACTAACATATCGGCGGATAGAGGCCTAGACTCGCGTAGTTTCGACGCTACTAACATACACACTGTCCCTAATAACTGCAGCTGATTTTTCCTTATAGCACAACACATTAAAAACCTGTCCATACAGTTCATTGCGAGGGAGAACACTTCGTCTAGGCATTTTTGTTCTTCGCACACCTGAAAAGAAAAAGACAATTGTTAAAACAAAAAAAAACAAGTTTGACCAACAAAAAGAAATCTCCCTGGAGGTGTGACAGAGCCTTGTTCGGATTAGGATTTTAAGGTATAAGAACTACTCAGCCCGTAAAGTAACCAATAATGTTTACTAAGTAACACCCATAATTTAATCTAGTTTGATTTTAAAAAATCGAACGGTGTACAGGCAACCCACAAAAGTTGCGCGTCTAATCGACCGTTGATGTCTCCGCCGAAACGTGGACATTCCGGCTTGTTTAATCTCATATTTCTTCCCATTTGATTTATTCCGATGCACAGGAGCCTAAGAAACTGCCAGTCAAATATACGAGATGGTTGACGATAATTAATATATAGTTAAATTATCAAAAGTTAAGATCCCTGCAAACATAAGAACGGATACCTTTTTTTTTGGATAACTGAATTGGATCTCCATACAAAACTCCGGAGAGTTTTTCAGTCCCATCATTTATTTCACGACACAATGAAAAAATTGCATCAATCTTTTAACTTGCGTATTTTATGTTAACATTTCACGCAACGAACGCGCATTTGGATCTGGGCAATGTCTAACACGCTTCAGTACTTTTTCTAGTAATTCACCAAATTTTACAGATAGGTACCTACTCCAAATTTAAATTTCACAAACCTTGAGAGCTTTTTATAAAAGCCTGGGGCACCCATAAGGGGCCGCCATCGTTTGCAAAGGCAACGTTCCAAAAATATACAACCATTAGCAACCGGGTCGCTCTGACTCATTTTTTCGTCGCAGCCTCTATGTACGAGGTGTGCAAATGCCAAACTTTGAGCCACAAGTTTCTGGGAGATTGAGACGCGAGTTTCGTTGATTTTTTTATAACCCAATTATCAAATGGCAAAAAGAGTTAACTTAAAAAAAATTAAAAATATGTACGTATAGTATCGCAGAACGGCTATGCATTCTGCATTCGTATATAATAAATACACGATACACAAATATGGAGGAATGTCGTTTTAACAATCGTAAAATAGCCGGTGCTACAAATAGATACAGCGATACAATAGATTTCAAGCTTCGTTTGTTTTTGCAAGTCTGACGCCATTATTGAGATATACCTAATCAGTCCGGCGCCAGAGATCTCTGATACACCGCGTTAAATAACAATTTGTTGTTTTACACACGAAAACCTTTCGACGAAACGGTCTTACAGTCACCGATCATGATTGAATCTATTTATTACAGTATTTATTTTAATTAAGGAAATGCCGCATTGTTATTCTGCGGACTTTTTAAAGACCTTCCGCCATTTAAAATTTAAAAGTCCGGCGTTAATTGCCGTCTGGCGACGCCTACCCGTTCTTCCCAATTCGCATTAAATTTTGGCAAAGGTGGGAAAAAGCGAGCGTCTTTCCGGAAACAACCGCGAACGTCCCGACGACATATTTTCAAGGTCAGCCAGTGGGTCGCCGACCGCGTGTTCGCCAGTTATGCGCGGGCGCGCTGTTGCCAAACCGCGGCGATTGTACCTGCTACGCAAATTTGGATGTTATTACAGCAGACCTTGGTAACCTCGTCAGAGTTATGAAAAATAGGAAAGGTATATTTTGGTCGTTTTCTTTTAGAGAGTCTCTTTGGTTTCCGAGCTAGATAGCGATATTCCATTAATGTCAATTCTTGTTTTTCAAGTTAAAAAAACATATTTATATATTCTTTTTCAAGTAGAATGCAATGACCTCAACAGATGTTCGATACCTTCTTTTGTTTTTCGGTTATAATAGCATGGTATTATATTTTTTATGTCAGCAAAATTATTTCCAAATTTATCATAGATACATGAACAATTTCTTTATATTTTGACTTAGTAGACATGAAGTAAACTAAAACGTTTGGTTTTTGGAATTAATATCATTTTCCAATCTGTATATATCTTTGTAATCGATCAAGTCTCTCAAAAAGCGCGAAATACGGCAACCGCGGCTCGGTGGCTCTTTAAATGCCCCAACTATAAATAGTACTACTCCACTCCAATCGTAAAGGCAACAAAAATCATAGAACTCATACGTCATGAATATTTAATGGTTTGCAGGAAACGGAGCGATAGGAATTTTCAGATTCAACGCGGAAACTACGCAGGTTCGAGCCTAACGTCTCCTGGGGCCAGAAAATGCGACCTCGATAAGTAAAAAACGGATTAGTGGTGGACCAATTTAGACACCTGCGGTTTGCGAATTGGTGTTCGCTTTTTAGTTCAAAAGGCATTCTTTTTTTTGCACTACTAAATTTATTTAAAAATATAGATGATTTTAGTAAATCAATTTTCGTAGATTCTCGAGCATCTCTTTGTTTAACTAACATTTTTCTCCGATGCATTCGAATAATTAATTACTTTAAAGAAGAAAGGAAAAAAAACATAATTATTAGTGTTAGGACTGGTCAATTGACCGCTTCTTAATTGACTAATCAATTTCGATCAAAATGTGTTAAATAACATCTTGCAATGGTAGAGTGTTAGTTATTATTTAATAATAAGATGTATTTTATAATAAATTATTATGCGATTGTGATGTCCAATTTACCTATAACCCTCCTGAAGGCATACCCGAATACGATATTAGGCGATTCGGGGAATCTCAATAAAAACATCGACTTTTAGTTCTTAGAACGACGTAACGGCGATGTTTTCAAGCTGTTCAATTCTAGTATTTCGTACTTTAAGTCAATGTCTGCTGAATTTGAGTTTAAGGAAAAGGTAGGTCAATGAGTCTCAACCCTCCTGGTTGTTTCATCCCAAATTGCACACTTAATAAAGGACAACATATTTTTTTTTTTACTTTTAACTTAGGTATATCTTGTCAGATTCTAGTGTATTCAATGCTGTTCTTTCGTGATTCATCTGAGTTTGGTTTGAACCCTCTAAAAATTGTAGGCAGTTATATTTTTGAAATATATTCGCAAATAGACGGTTAATTTTGCTTGATTTGGTTGATCAAAACTAACCACGATTTTATTTTGCGAATTCGATTGAAACGAGTGAAAACAAGTCCAAAAAATATTCACAGTCTGACGCGGACTATTTGGTTCAGTTTACGATATACCTACGCGCCGATACCTAAAATTACCGCCGCGACGACGTCGACAATTTTTTTTTAACGGGGCCTCAGCTGATTTCTGTCGTTCTAAATGTTATTCACCTCGAGAGGTTTTTAAAAATCGTATCTCGACACGTTGGAGATCCGCGCGCACGGTTGTCAAATCGCGCCGGTCTCGTTTTTTTGGGCTCGTCGGGCGCGGAAGAACGGCAACGCCGCGCGCGACAATAGGTGCGAATTGGGACCTTTAAATTTGAGTATGTGTGTTTTGTACACGAAATACACGGTTAGCATTGCATATGGCGTGGCCGATACCTTTAAATTTTAAATGTGCGCCTTCGAGTGCGTGCGATGATGTTCCTTTCTCATTAGATAAGCAAACCAAATTAAATTAGAAATATCGTGTACATTCTACGGGTTGCGTAACCCGGCAACGGTACGTCGAAGCGACGTATTTTTTGAATATGGCGTAGTCATTTTGGTTTTGGATATGGAATTTCTCCGAATATCCGAAAAAATATTAAAAAATAATGTTAGTTTGTTTTAATAAACATTTGTCTGAGAATATCTCCTTCACATGTAAAAGGGGACCGGAAAAAATCGTTTCTATTTTATTATTTCTGAAACGGTGTAAGCTAAATAAAATTTAGACGATAAACACTTTTGATTTGTTCATAAAAGTTAATTCCAACAAAATTTTAGTTCAAAATAATTTACACTATTTTTTGATTTCACAGTTGTTCCCCAACAAACATTATTCCATAAGATAGTTTGTTTTTCTCAGCGAGAATTAATTAAAATAATTACTTACAACTTGGCATTATCTGCTAAAATCCTCAAATAACTCCAAAATCAGACTTTAAACCTTTTTTTTGCACTTTGTTTAAAAAATATCATTTTTGTTCAAAAAATTAAATATACTCCCATCTCCTATTTTAGGTATCTTAAACCGTTTACGAATAAAAAAAAGACTTATTGAGTTCGCGTTTGTAGAGTTATCTGCTGAGGGCGGCATTTCAACCACCTATTTCTTAACCAAACCAGGATTATTTTTTATTTTTCTATATTGACCTTTTTAGTGGAATGGTACCTACTACAACGTATTTTCTAACCATGGCTTTAGTAAGCTGGTTAGCTTTTCCTGCTAAAATCAATAATTTTAATTAGAAGATTTGTGTAGACAGCTAACTGATTAAAAGAAGAAGAAATGCTGACTAATTCTCAACATAGCAGTGCTACAACGTGAAAGAAATGCGGTTATCTCAATTGACTATAATTATCCAGAAAATTTGGCACCTATTTCCGCCCTTCTCTTTGCTATTGGGAGATAAAAATTACTTTCCAAAGTTTTTCTTTTGTTTTTGAGTTTTGAGATTAACGTTGCTTTATTTTTGTCATTCGTTTGTTAAGATTTACACAAAAGAATAGGGCGTTTTAACTGTTAATAATAATTCGACGGGCTCCAGGTCCCTTAATAATATCGGGGGATGCAAAAACGTCCATCGAAGACATGGAAATTCCCAGTGTCATCACTTTTACCGGCCCGTTTTGCACCGCACATAGCAAATACCGAGCTTCCATTTCTTCGACCACATCACCGACTTTTAAAAAGAATCCGCGCAGTCAGCTATCCGAGTAATTTACATTCGCAGTCTATTTTCGCAACACGTTGTTTTTAAATTTTAAATATCGGTCGTCTAAGACAAAGTTCACGGTTTGATTCGCGACGTGGTATCGTTTATTTTCGTCAATATTAACTTTCTTCGGGTTTTGAAATTGGGGGCGGTCCGGCAGCAACTTTTTTACTTATTTTCCCTTCGGAGCACAAACAAGACAAACCGACAGCAATATCCTCTTCAGAATAAATAAGCTTTAACATGCAAAGTTTGTTATTACTAAAAAAAAAGTATATAGAACTTACGATGAATTGCGTTGAGAAGTGTAAATGTCAGTCATATGAAATTATCAACATATACAGGTTTTGGAAGAAACCGTCCATGTGCTTAAATAAATAGCAATAATATTTCAGAATAGTCTACTACCGCGATTAAAAACTTAATGCAATGCTAAGAGCTTGTAATGCCAGTTTTAACGTCATTTAAGTTTTAGGTTATTGAGATTTTCTTTCAAGAGAGGCATTTGAAAAAAGTTCTATGTTATCAATTCTGTTCTTGTATAAGTTATGGATATGTGGGGCTCAAAACGAGAGAAGATAAATTTACTCTAAAAAATGTTGAGGAAGACGTAGTAGTGATAAAAGCTAATTAATTGAGTTGGACGATATATTTTTTGACAACAAACAACTTGGTGAATTCAAAATACAGGGTGTTCTATGCAGAGTGATGATTGATCGCCTATGTAGTTTTAAATAAAGATTCCTTAGTTAAATTTAAGACAAAAACTTATAATAAACTCAGTGTGAAGGATTCGTTTTGGTTTTTTTGAAATGTGTTCTGAAATAATATACCTAATCTTTTGAATAATAACTTGCTTTAAGTACTTGCATAACATTTGTTACTTGAAGAAACTCGTGACATTTCTCGGATCATCAGGAAAAAGTTACGAAGCTCCCATTTTCGTTCGACCACCGCGTCTAAAATTAAACGCCCGAGACGAGATAATGGGAGGCCCATTTTATTTTCGTCTTGCTGAGCTGACTAACCCAAAGTAAGCAAAGGCGACGATTTAAAATTAAAAGTTTGTAGGAGAAATGGTCCATCGTCGTTCGGGCGTTTGAATAAAATATAGGCCTATTACAAATGTAAACCGGCTTGTTTATGCAACCGACACATTTTACGACTCGCAGGGACAAACGCGAATTTTGGTTGGTTGGTGCGTTCAAACGTCGAGCGTTGATTTTTGTTTATAAAAATATTCCCGCAGGAATCGGTAGCACATGAAACAAATCGACATCGACAAATTAATGTATACTAGATCAGGCATGCTCAGCCGATGGTCTGTCAATTTTGTAAATCGTTATTTGACAGATTGACAAGCTGACATGAGCTAAGAATGAGGATATACAACTGGGTGGAGATCTTCTACAGTAAACGATCCCTTAGTGACAGATAAAGAAAAAGTTGTACAACCTAAATATGGAATCGCTTATTAAGGAGCAGGTTGTCAAAACTAAGGTTCCTAAATTCAGGTTTCAATTAATTTACCCATATATTTTTGTGAAAATAAAAAATCAGCCGGGCAATAGTCAATTTTGTTTCGAAATATCGAGAAAACGTGGATGTAATCAATTTACGAAAACCATGGATAAGACATTGAAAATAACTCTAAAGCTTTCATATTAGTGACTGCTTATTAGCGAAACAAACTTTGGCTCCCTAACCATTTTTTCCTAAACTGTGGAAATTGCTTCGATAAGACGATAAAGAAGTGGTGAGTTGTCAGAGATAAAGCCAGAATATAAGGTTTGAATCATGCTCCGAGAGTTGCAGGTTATCACTCACAAAATAGGGAAAATTTTATATTTTGTCACCCAGTAACGAAGATTTTTTGCGCATTTGTTCAACCAAACGCATCCTGTAAAATCCTTAAATCGAAAATAGTTATACATAAAGATTGATGCAACGAAAATATAAAATGCTTTTAAATATCTAGAAAAATTGTTTACCTGTCGGCCCTTATCTTTCGTTTAAATCGATTCGGAAACTTTTTGGAGGACACAGATTATGTATCTAGTCGGGACGTTCTAATTTCATAGGTACGTAGAACTAATTTAACCCGCTTTTCAAAAAATATGGCCGTATTTTAAGGCCGATTTCGAACAGAAATTCCGGATTTGATTTTCACTCGGGAAACCGAGAAACCAAAACTCAATAAAAATTCGTGGTCACTTTTTTTTTTATTTCGAAAATTCAACATAAGGCGCCGCCGGTGTGTTTTTCAATAATAGAAAAAGCACTATTCGAAACAGTAAATAACAAAAAAGGCGAATATTCAGAAATATTCGAGGAAAAAATTGAAATATTAAAGCGGACGTTTGCCGTACCACATACCGCAGATAAATTGCCCCATTTTCCACGGTGTTGTCAGATGTATCCCAATTCTAGCACATTTAAAAAATTTTGATTCCATTGATCAATCAACCAAAGCTAAGAATAAAAAGTTTACTATTTTTGATTTGAACGGGGCTTTCTTCTACTACTCCCCACATGATTGTTTAATGACGTAATTCTATTTGAAAGAGACAACGCCGGCTACCGAAAATTGCTATTCGTATTCTGCGATGGTCTCGGAAATGCTTACAGCTTGACGTTTTTACGGGAGAAAGTATTTTTATCGTTATTTACTATGTCTTCTTTTGATGGGTGACATTTTTTTTTGCGGAACACGAAAGACAGCCGGTATATAAACGTTCGAAGCCCGCACGTCGTTCCGAGGCGTCAGATTTTATTGTTACTATTTAAAACATCATCAGCTGATTGAATCGCTTGCTATGTGGCAACCCGATTAAGAACTGCTATATCGAGCTCGGTTTAAGTCTCCGATAACGGACGATATTGCAGGTCTTTTATCGATTGTGTTTTTTAAACTCGGAAACACGCAAAAAAGCAGGAATTCATTCGAAAACGTTGCCATACCGATCGAGTTTTTAAAACGCCGACAAACTAGGTAACGGAATAACGAAGGCAAAAAGTTCTCGATCCAACCTCTTACCTCCATCATCCATTCCGCGACGATTTTCCTCATTTGAGGCGTGACCTCATGCTGAATACCAGCAAAATTCGCAGGATACGGTAACGTGTACCTATCCTCGGTCTTCAGCAGGTTTTTTAGTACTCGATCCTGCAACAACGTCGGATCGTCGATAGTTCTAATTTCATTTTGGGACGTCGACGGATTCTCGCAGCAGAATAGTACGTTCATGTTCTTTCCGACGCGCTCTGCTTTTGAGAAAATTCGAGCACTCGTTTTAAAACACTCTCACGCACAACGATCAAGAAATATCACAGAATCGATTCATATATGAAGTTAAAAGCCGGTTCGTATTTTCTCTCTGTTTGTCTTCGGTTTTTTGCTCTTGGTGCGGATTGTCCTCGTCCAGAGCTCTTTTTGGGTCCTCTCAGTTTGAACACTGAATTGAGAGTGATGTGGTGTGCGTGGATTTCGCCGCCGAACCTTGCGTCGAGTGGAGAGATAGGGTGGTGGGGGATTTCCCCACCTTTCCGTATGTCCCTTGCGCGGTTTTTGGAACCAGTCGGTTGACTATTCAGTTACTTAGACAGAAATACCGGTTGATATTTGGCAGAAGATGTACGTGAAGACTAGAGCACGGTAATTGGAGTGAAAATGCCACATGGAAATTGACGTTTTCACACCTAAGCGCTTACGGGGTGGCAGACAATTAGTCTATCTCCCTTCCCGAAACTGTCAAATACCAAAATCAATTTTAAACCGACACGAATACTCCTGATAGATTTAAATCGTATTTGCCTCAAAGAGTATATTTGAACAAGTTTGATAAACTCCATTTTAGTCAGAAGCAAGTGTTGAATAAACGGGAAACTAAATAATATGCTATTTTCTACGATCAATAGTCTTTGGGTACATTCTTGGACGTGTGACGTGTGGTGCGTCCGTCAAAATATTAGAGCTACAATCTAAAATAGTTCTAGATTACATCTTAAAGTCACGCATAATTGTGCAATTTAGAGAGAAACAATTGTTTATTGTTGATTGGTATCAGAATTATGTTTTATTGGTGCAAATTTTGAGCAAACTTGAGCACAGAATGCAGTTGTATCAGGAGGGGGTAGGAACAGGACACATCTAAAAGTTTTGTAAGGCTTTTAGAGAATTAAGCGTCGTTAAAACTATGATAAAAATAAGTATCCTTCAGTACTTTGAATAGAGCTATGGAATGTAAGAACATTCGACAAATTGATTATACAAGTTGTTCCACCGAAGAATTCATCGGAAGGAACTAGAAAAAAATTGATAAGCAAAGAAAAAGGAAAAATACTCGAATGAAATGAGATTCCGGATTTATAATTTTTTTTATTAATTTCTTTGTTGGTTTCGTCCTCGCTAATATATTGAAAATTTATTGCAAATCGTTTTCGACATCTCCATTTCGAGCTTTTGATTATTTTTCAAATGTTTCGACCATGTTCAGTGTTTTACTGGATTAATAGCTGATGTGTCCTTTGTTTGAACAGTATTTTAGTCGGATGGCACCCATCGTCTTTAGTTTTTTTGTTAGTTGTAGTTTTTTTCGTTTTTTCGAAGTACCCTATATAAACACATAGTTCCCATTCGTTAATTGCTTAGAATCAGGAAAAAGTGTGTTTACACCGAAGCTTTTTTTAACCAACAGCTAAGGAAAAAAATTACTACCACTAACTACACTGAGAACTTCATAAAATTTTGATATTTATGACATTATAATACTTCTGTAAATTTCCAACAAATAAACGGACAGAAGCAATTACCACCGAGCTTTATGCAGCAAAAATAGTTTGAAAACTCTAAGTAAAAATATTCAGTAGATCTGGTTAGTCATCGAAATTGCCTTTGCCAATCGCCAATTGCCAAACGAGAAGCAGCAAAAACGGTAGCCTTAGATCGGCATCGTTTTTCCGAGAAAATCGACCCACGCCTCAAAATTCCTGCACTACTGCCGCAAGCCGTAGGAATTTCTTAAGTGTCGAGACACTGTAACAGTGTAAAGTGTAAACTGAAGTAAAAAAATATTTATAAAGTTATCCTATTCGGCGGAACGCGTTTCATTTAGGTACCTGGGTCGGAGTACCATACCAGAATTCCGAGAAATCCGTTCCCTCGCTTAAGAATGGATCCTTCCTCCATTTATTTATTTTAACTTTGTGTATAATTTTGTTTGTGTGTATGTAAACGCATCGCAGTGGTAGCAAATGTGTCCAACGGCAAAAAATTAAAACCGTTATATGCGCGATTGTGATCTAGCTGAACATCTTCGGTTGTTATCATATTGAGCATTGAACAGTGTTCAACGATAATGTTCAACAAAATAAAAAGTATTATAAACTCTCCTCCTAAAACTAATTGTCTTCTAAATTAAGTTTAGTAATTTAGTTGATACGGTTTTGTTTAGTGTTAGGAGTTAATTAAACTTTTCTAAATTTTTACTCTTTTTTGGTTAATATTGCAATATGATAAGTATTTCCATAATACGTTTTTTTTAATATGTAAAGCAGATAAACCTTAATAATCCAAAAAAAGATTTTGAGTATGGTTGATTAACCATACTCAAAGTCGAATGAAGAAAAAAAACTCTCAAAATTTACAGATCTTAAAGTTTAATTTTCATAGGAAAAAAGGACAGTAAAATAGTTTGTTAAGAAGTTTATATAAAAAAATGATGCTGTGCCGAATAAACCACGTTTTGACTTAAAACAAGAGTAACAAATTTTTAGGATTTGTGATTCTGCTTAAGGTAATCTGTTCTATTTTGCAATATCAGTCTAAATAAATAAAATACAGGGAAAAAATGTTCTAGCTAAAGTGCCCCCTCTAGTGACAGATTTCTGAAACACTACAGTCTATGCAAAATACCAGCTTATTACGTTAAAAATTGAATACAATGCGTTAACAAATAAAATTTTTAAAAAAATTAATTAGCTATAACTCGGAAAATATTACGATTTCGAATTTTTGGTACATAATTTACTACCATTATTTTACCACGTTGAATTTTTCCTCTAAGTTTCCGAATTCCGAACCCCTTTATATTAGTGTAAGTATAGTAGTTATAAGGTTTGCTGTGTAGTAATTGTTGTTGTGAATTAAATTGAATTGAATTTGAATTATACACTAATCTAAGGTGAAGTATTGTCAGGAATAAATGAAGTTGCCATTTTAAATATATATATTTTTTTACAATATGCTTAGATTGTGCTAGAACTGTTAATTTTTGCCGAATAAAATACAAGACAACCAAAATTTTCCTTCAAAAAACAAACGCAGCAATACATTTTCCCATCGGCTTCAAAAATTGGACTAGGTTTCTCTCGAGTCTTGGCAACTTTATTTTTCATTCCCTTTCAAACAAACAGAAACGAAGCAGCTAGTTAAAAAGAAACTTAGATATCAAACACATTTTTTTACCGACCCGTATTTTTCCACTGCGACAACTGAAGAGGTTTGGTAAAGTTCAGGCCGCCGTTGTAATCGCGCACAATCCCAGCGTGTAGGACGTCGTTTTTTGGCAACCCCCCTTCTAAACAATAAATATCAATTCTTCAACCTTCAAACCCTTTTTAACAATATATTATTAATGTAATAATGGAATAAATAAACAATGAGATTCGTAAAAGTAAAATCTTTAGCCACATTTAATGAAAGTTTGGTGTTTCTAACCCTAAGAATAGAACGGCCGGCTTGGGACCCAAGATATTAGGTGTTTTTTTTTATTTAATTAGTATTCGTCATTCAAAAATTCTCGGCTGCAGACAACACAATACGTTTTTGTAATATCAGTTTCCAAGTTCGTAAATCACTCTGACAATCTGTATAAAATTTATGGTTGAAGAGATACTAATTTATGCTTAAGTTTGATCATAAATTTAATGAAAAATCCCCCGTGTTACGTCTTAATTTAACTCCCCCTACCCTTACCAATTTACGAGAGATAGGATTCCTCCTTTATATGAAGACAGACGCTTTAATTTTCAAGCTGCCTTTTAATAATCGGTGCTTTGCTAAAGGGGTGGTAGTATTTGTCCGTCATTCGAGACCAACTAACGTATCATTCAATAAATTTCTTCTAACGAGCTTAAAAGGGTAATTTAGACGTCGGGATATCGGGTATACACAAGTCGAAAAAAAAATGCCCTTATAAGGGAAATATGTTAAATTATTAGGTAACAAAAATATTTTGTACTATTGTTTTTGAGGCAAAAATGATAATTTCTATAGTTGCTAACAGTTCTAATTTAAGTCAACCTTAATAATCTTATTTTATGTAGAATGGTAACTTTGAATAAGATTGAATATTCCCTCTAATCCGAGTTTTCAGTTTAATTGATATTTACTAACAAATCTTTTAATTTAGTTGGTGTTTGCTCCTATCTAATGGCCAAAACACGCATGAAACCTGCAAAAAGTTTGGAAACACAAATTTCATATTTTCCATGGTTTACTGTCCTTGTACTTGATAGTCAGTTATATTTTATATTTCTTTTAGCTCTGCAAAGCCGAGACAGCGTTGACGTCATGGTGGGAAAGCCGTTTGCCAGATATTCGTATTTGAATATTCTCTTATCAATCTACGAAAACCAGAAATTTCACAAGTATGCAATTAATATTTCCAAGGTAATTGTTTTCGTTATTCATTAAAATTCATTAAAAATTATTAAAAAATCATTCGAAAATTTAGTTACTTATAACACTCTGTATCTTTTTAACGAATAACATATGTCACTACGCTTATTGAACAAATCTTATTTTGTGATTGTGATGGGACACCCTGTATTCGCTGGACTGAAAACTCCGCATTTTTGCCAACAAATTCGCCGAACAAATAGCCGTAATAACGAAATTGTTTTCGGGAAAAAGTTGAATTTGTTGGTCGAGACCTGTTATCACAATATTGATTGCGGCGTTTTAATAGCAGCTGTTCGCGACCCGCCAAGGATCAATCAGGCAAATTAAACACTTCTTCGCCTTTATGATAGTCCTTCAGAGATAATAATTTAATTTCGCAGTAACCAAATCGACACCACCAAAATTTTTTGATTAGTTTCGGTCCCAAATTATGCCATACATCGGGTCAATGGACATTTCGTTAAACATATTGAATTCTTTGTATCCATTTTTAATCCCTTTTTCAGTTTAACTTCAATGGCGGCTTGTCAAGTTTTGCCTATTAAAACTGGATACGAGTTATATTAATGCAAAACTCAAAATTATATATTTTATCCAAGCTCCGTTTTTTCTTTGTGCTACAATTGTCAGTCCTTTTGTCAAGGCTCAGTATTCCTTATACGTTATATCTATATAAAGTTCTATTATATGACGATTTCATTTTACTAGCATTTTCCTATTTAGATTATGATTCACTTTTTTGTCCGCTCTCTTCTAAAACAGT